AGCTACTAGAAACAAGTGCCTCGCTACTAGTAACAGGTGCCTTACTAGTAGTAACAAGAAGCCAGGAGAAACAAGAAGCTACTGGCGATGTGGCCTCCAATTCCACTGTTCTGCAAAACGTGGAACGTTCAGGTGGCGGTTCCCATGCAGCTCCTCCCAACGTTGCCGCCCAAGACCGGGTGGCCTTGGTCACGTCTTTGGACCGAACCTGTTTTTCGGTATCTACTTTGAAAGGCACTTGTTCCTAGTAGCGATGCACTTGTTTCTACTAGCTTCTTGTTACTACTAGTAAGGCACTTGTTCCTAGTAGCGATGCACTTGTTTCTACTAGCTTCTTGTTACTGCCTAGTAAGTACTAGTAGCTAGTAAGGACTTAGACTTTGTACCTTTGCCCCCCTACTTCGTTAAGTCTTTCAACACGTCTACTGTCGAATTGGCGCGGCACGTGCCAGGCCAGTGAAGGCCAGAAACTGAGTGTGTCAAAACGAGTGTCGACATGGGTCTGACGAGTGACAGGAAGTTACTAGTAGCTCCTGGCATTACTACTAGGAACAAGAAACTACTAGTAACTAGCGGCATCGCTACTAGAAACAATAAAGCTACTAGAAGCTACTAGTAGCAAATAGCTAGTAGCTACGAGTGGCACGAAAAATCGAGAACTTGGGTCGTTGACTTTGAGGGCCGAGTCCTGAAACACAGCAACGGACTTTGCGTCCTACAGCTCAGCCTCAATCTGCACTTTGCATGCAGATTGCACAAGAAAGTGCAGTTGCGTTTTGCATTCTTGGCATCCTCTCGAACAATTCCTCATTCTAGGTGCGAGAGAAAGATAGCTCGTTTGCAGCCCAACTGTCTCAAATGCAGTGCAATTCGATGTTACTTTGCAATATCTGTGCAATTTTCCAGTTTCTTTTGCCAAGTGGGAGGCCATCGCTAGTAGGTTGGAGGCCTTTGTCGCTTTGCCTTGTGGCCGATTGTGGCTTGCTTTTAGGCTCATCCTCTCGGAGTGTGGTGTGATGACATCGCTGGTGGGAAGCTGAGAGGACATGGATGGGATGGAGAGACGGGTTCCCGGTACCGGGTTCCTGGTACCCCGGTACGGCTTGAGATAGGTTTCCAATGGCTTCTATATGTTTCTATGTTCCAAAGTCTTTGGCCAATAGATCTACAATGATCTACATGTGTCCCGAAAGTGGATATGTGAGAAACTCGGCATGCCTTCAACAAGAAAGAGAGGTGACAGGGAACGAGAGAAAGAGTATGAAAGAGTGAAGGAAATGAAGCATGTGAGCATGTGTGTGTCTTGTACGCTGTGCTCGGGGTTGTGCAGCTTGCAAACTTAGGACGTGATCCAGGTGGTCCAAGATGAAAGCGAGCCTCCAGCGTTCCAACTGCGGATAGGCCAAAGACTCTTTAAGCCTAGTAGCGATGGGCTCCCACCTATTTATTAACATTCAAACAATTTATTGTTATATCGTGTCCCGTCTCCGTTTCGAGCGTGCGCACATTCCAGGACAGAGGTGTGCAACTCTGTCAGGGCCAAAGACGCTGACCCTTCCACTTCAACCAGCTTGTCATATGTCCCTTGGTTCAAGTTGGACGCATCTCTCCAGATTCGGGCTGGCGCATTGCAACATGATGGTTTGTGGCTGATACATGCTGACACCAACGCCCGAACAGAGCACCAAGCAGGTAGAGCAGGCATGAGCAGGCCATGTCGACACAGCAAGGCCATGTCCTCACCACGAAGCAAGCTCGATGCTTCGAACACGTGAGGCCCGAAGCAAAGTTTCGAAAGGTCATCGTTGGCACCGACCTCTTCTTGCTGCAGCCAAGCTCGATGTCGCCACATGTCTTTAGAGTGATGTGACCGGATCGTGGCAGAACAGCCACTGCATTGCCTATCTCGAGGGGTTTCTGCAAACGAATGAAGCAATGCCCTGAACAGTGGCAATGGAGCAAACAATGGCAATTTGCACAGGCATTTGCGACTGCCAAGTATATTTCAAGATATTTCCACCGTTTTCCAAACGTTTTCCAGTATCATTGTAATGTCAATCAACAAGACTACCTGGAAGTTGAAAAACTAGGATTCGTGTCGTGTGCCATAGTCCACCTTTTGCTTGCAATTGAACATTTTCGAGTTATTCGAGTCATCAAATGACGAGTCATCACATGGCTCGTATGATTGTTAACACATCACAAGACTTTGAGTGCAATCTTTCTCCAAGTGTGCACCAATCTTGATTTACAAAGCCCTCACACCCCACGTTGGCATTTTTCGATTTTTGCGCAGTGCTCCCACCTGAGGGTTTGCCTAGCTCCAGCAGAAGCGCTCGGATCTGAGCATATTTGAGTAACTATTTGAGCAAATGTTGCTGAAAATGTGTTGCCACTCGTGAAAAGGCAATGTGCTGTCTGTTTCGAAAGTTGATGTCAAGGCCTGCTGATGGAGCTGGCTTAATCCTTTCAGATTGCACAGGCAAGTTGCCCGATGAGTCCCTAAGAAACCCGTGCTCATAGCGTGGCTTCGAGCACTTGATTCTTAAAGCACAAAAAGCATGGCCATACATTCTTTGCCCATATAGCTGCTGTGTGCTTCAGTCATGCCACAGTGATGTCAGACAAATTCCAGTGAAAAGGTCCTAGTAGATTCCTTTGCTAGTAATTACAATTAAATTCTTATTGTTACTACTAGTAAGGCACTTGTTTCTAATAGCGATGCACCTGTTACTAGTAGCTTCTGAAAAAGAATTCCATTCATAGCTGCGACTGGTGAAAGGTTGTTCGTTTGCACCTGTCACTTGTGACTTGTCGGTTGCCGTTCTTCCGAACCTGCGCCATAGAGCATAATGAATCAGCCGCTCAAACGACACCTTCCTTGTTCTCACCTCCATTTCAGCATTTTTGAGCAAGTCCTTTCTCACCGAAACATATAGAACAATCATGAATCAAACATATGCTGCACATGCTCCGTTTTTGGTTCCATTCTTGGAAAACTCTTGCAAGAAGATTAGAGCCGTCCTCCATCCAACGGGCTTTTAGACCACTTGCCTTTTCATATGTGGCAATTGCCGGCGCAGTCCACATCCCCATTGTCACCAGGAGACATTCACTTCCAGACTTCAGAGGCACGGAACCGCGATCTTGCGAATTCCTCCGCCTACTTGTATTCCAAAAAAAA